CACAGACAGACGGACACACAGGCAGGCAGGATGGCTGGCAGGCAAGTATGCATTGATCGAGTGGCTGGCAGGCAAGTATGCATTGATCGAGTGTCTTGTGCTTCGTGTGTACCTGTCCCTCAGTTCTGCTGGGCGCCGAGTCCGAGCCTGGCAATGGCGATGACAATGGCGATGCCGATCGCGGCCAGCAGCCCCCCGAGGACGGCAAGAGCGGTGGAGGTGACAATGGCGATGCCGATCGCGGCCAGCAGCCCCCCGAGGACGGCAAGACCGACGAGCAGGGAATGGGAATGAGGCAGCTGTTCGCGGAACTGGGCGAGGGGTTCCTCGCGAAGCGCAACTAGAGCGTGCACTGCGAAGTGAGTGAGCTAGAGAGGGCACTGCAAAGTGAGTGAGGAGAGAAGGGGACCCTCCTGCTTGGTCTTTTCTAATATCGCCTCCGCTTCTTCCACCTTACGCGGCGGCTATTTTCGTCACATGCACGAGCGCAGATAGGTAACGAATTGAGCATTGCGTCCCTGCCTGTTGGCATGCGACCGGTCAGATCAACCACGTGAGGGGAGGGGTGCCTGGGTGTCTGCGGGCGGTGTGTGTCTTGTGTGTCTTGGCATGAATGAGACGTCTATCTGGAAAGAATGAGATGTCTGTCTCTGAGTGTATAGCTGCTCATACCCAACACAGGGTTTTCCATGCATGCCCTGTGTGCTTTTTGGGTTGATGGTGATGTGATGGATATGCGAGTGGGTTCAGTCAGTGTCTCTCTTCTCTGGATCTCAAAATGAAGAGACCAGAGCAGTTGCACTGCAGGCACGTTTGTGTGGTTGGTGAGTTGAGGCTAGTGGTAGTGAGGGAGTGGCAGTCAGGGAGGTCGTGGTAGTGAGGGAGTGGCAGTCAGGGAGGTCGTGGTAGTGAGGGAGGTCGTCAATTAAGCCAGTGGGTGTGAGTATTGGTCGGTGGTTGTAAGTATTGGTCGATGGGTCAAGCAATTAGTGGGTAGTGTGCCTTGTCTGTCTTCTCTTCTGTGTTGTCTGTCTCTTCTGTGTTGTCTGTGTGTTGGGCGGATCTGTCTGTTTGGCTGTGCTTTTGGGTCGGTCGCAACATCATTGCTTTTATGTCGGTCGCATGCTACATCCTGTCTGTTCGGCAACCTTCATCAGAGTAACGTGCCAAAATGAAATCATTGCTGTATCATCGCCATAAGTCTAAGCAGGGACACAATCGACCAAACATTGTAATGCGAAGTGCTTGAGCAAAACACAAGCGTTCGGGCGATGCAAGGACATCAAGCAGAAAAACACCCAGCTAGAGCAAACACAACACGGCAAGCACGTGGAGACCTTCGTGTGGCAGTGAACACGGGAGACACACGCATATCGCAGACACTCGCAAGCAGTCAGGCATGCACACATACACAGACTCCATGCACAACACACGCAACATCATGCACATGGCATGCAGATCCACCGCGGCCCGCCAACTCACTGCCCAGAGGCGTGGCTGGTGTGAGGCCTGTGTGGGCCTGTTAGCCATAATCAATTTAATCAGCCTTTCTCAGCCATTCAATCATTGTACACAAATTACTGAAATAAACATACCAACCTACGACGTGTACACACATCGCCATACACTCGTCCGTATATGCCCAGATATAGACATAGTACTTCAATAAATAAAAACATGTTGCAGACAGAACTGACACCACAGATGTGCAATCCTCAAAACGGGGTAAGATCCTCAACATTCATTATGGCGCCTTTCATGTTGTGTCCTTCTTTCTTTTTCCCTTTTTTGTCGCCCACTCCCCCTCTGCCTGTCTGTCTGTCTGTCTGTTTCCCTGCATGCTTCTTTCTGTGTCTCCCTATCGCCTTTTCCTGCCTGCCACCCTCTATGCCTCCTCTTTTTGTGTCATTGTCAAGTGACCACGCTTACGAAGAGATACATTATCGTCAGTTTCGAATATTTGAGACAGCCACCCCCCACCTCTCACTGTCTGTCTTTTGAACGGGCGGTGGCACAAGCAGCCCCTTTGTTGTCCCTTCTTGTTCGCCGCGACCCTGCTACGCCGTTGTTATATCACGACACACCGCACAGGCATTTGTGTGCTTTGTGCTACTCACCTTATCCCAGTTGACCAGGTCCCACCATGCAGCCGGCAGATATGGCATTGGTCCGCCTGCACAGATCCATTAAGAAGAAGACCAATAGTTTGTTTGCTAATCATCATGTCTGCTACCGTAGAGCACGACCGCATTAATATTATTTCCACCCAGCACCACATCATTATAGCCATCCCCGTTAATGTCGCCCCTGCATGTGGTGTGTGAGGGACAAAAGTGACAACAGGAGATCGCAATTTGTCTTCTTACCCTTGACTGGGAAAGCAGGTCTTTTCATCCGAAGTCGGGTTACCATAGCGAATACGAAAGCCATTTGTGCCGTCCAGAGCGGCAGATCGAAATCGATCGCACGGGTCGCAGTCGCCTGCCATGCCGAGTTGCCGAATACGATATAGCACTGCCATTGGGGATCGGCTGAATGCGACAATTGATCACACAGGGACTGTCGCATGTCGTTTTGTCTCTTCTTACTGTGCAAGTCGCCGCCAGAGATGGCGAAATCAGGTATATTGTCACCTACAGCATACAGTCGGAGACACGGACACACAGGAGACGTCATTTATTCGCTTATAGCACACGCCTGCGGTCGTACCATTGAAGTCTCCCAATCCCTCGACGTTGAAGCCAACTTCAATCCGATCCTGATGCCAATCGCTAGTTGTACGCAGGACGGAATCATAGAAACGGACACCGTCACTGACAAATGAGAGAGAGGCGGATTTTCGCATATAGCTTCTTGTGTCCCATCAGGCTTGCGATCCCAGTGTATATTTCGGTGCACCAAACGACTTATCCCCGTGCCGCCCAAAGATCAGGAAAATCACGCCTGTCGATTCTCCTGTGTGCTTTTTCGAGTTGTCGGAGATGAGAATGTCGTCGAAGCCGTCGTCGTTGACGTCGCCGATGAAACCGGCGATCTTTATGCTGCTAGAGTCATAGATGACGACCCCGTCCTCTGATTCCCGAATGACGAATCCTCCTGAGCCGTCGAGGTTGAAGAGGTTGATGGTTTTGGCCGGCTCTTCCTCGAGACGCCGGACGTTGCTGGCATTGTCAACGGCCCTCACAGATGCTTGAATTTCAAGGCAGAAGAAGCAGAACAGAAGGCCCAGCGAAGCCCGAAACAGTCTGGCCAATGGCATGTTTCCTGAGGCACAGCATGGGAAGCAGACATACAACACATGTGCTTCACATCCATGACCATGTCTGCTCACACGACTTGAGGCGGGGGATGCTGCTCGAATCGTTGACAGCTGCGCAAGCAGGAAGCGTTCTGCGGAGACTGGGGCACCCCCCACCTCGAGCTCGCAAGAAGAGATCTGCTAACGATGATCCGGCCTCAGGCTGCTCCTGTGGTCGTGTTGCGGCAGAACACCAAGCGCGAGCAGGGACGGAAGGCCCAGCTGGCCAACATACAGGCAAGCGTCGCCCAGATGCACGCCGTCGGATAGATCTGCACACCGACATGCGCCTTGCTGTGTGTACGTCAGGCTGGCATGACGATAGCTGACATTGTGCGCACGACGCTCGGCCCGAAGTCGATGCTCAAGATGCTTCTGGACCCCATAGGCGGCATCGTCATGACCAACGACGGCAACGCCATACTCAGGGAGGTACGGGTAGCACCCACGCAAGCAAAGACACGTAGGTGCAACACTTGCCATCGACTCTGTCTGGTGCTGTGTGCTGTGCAGGTTGATGTGGCTCACCCCGCCGCCAAGTCGATGATAGAGCTGAGCCGCTCGCAGGACGAGGAAGTGGGAGACGGAACGACCTCAGTGGTCGTCCTCGCCGGTACGCGAACACAAATGCACACACCCACTCGTCCCGTCCACTCATCCGCACACCGGTGACGCCCATACGGTGGTGTTTGTGCTGAAGCGCATCCGGCGTTTCAGGCGAGATGTTGGCTGTGGCCGAGCCCTTCCTCGAGCGCAACATGCACCCCACAATCATCGTGGCGGGATACATCCAGGTCAGCAGAGGGACGACGGGATTGTGAGACTCGCTTGACACATGGTGGCCTTCTCGCCTTGCTGTGTGTCAGGCTTTGGATGACACGTTGAAACTTCTCGGCGAGATCGCCACGCCCATCGATGCTTCCGACGACAAGCGGCTCACCGAGATCGTCCACACATGTACGGACACAACCGTGTCCACGCATGTACCTGACACACATGGATCTGGGTCTGTCTGCGGGTGGGTGTGTGTCAGGCATCGACACCAAGTTTCCCGCTCGTTGGGGCAACATGATCATTGGCTGTTCAAGGCTGCCAAGTGCGTGACAATCGAGCTTCCTCATGGCGGCAAGAGGGAAATCGACATCAAGATGAAGCAGCCAGCCAGCAGCTGTTCCGTGGTGGAGGAGCTGCGGCCTTCCAGGTGGACAGATACCTGCAGCGTGCATCGAGTGCCTGCACCTACCGGCCTGGCCGAACGGCAGCTCCGCATGCATCAAGCGTGCATCAGGCGTAGCAGCACAGCGAGGTCTGGTGCAGAGATGGATGCTCACCATTATGGCAAGGCAGTCAGCTGGACGGAAGAATGGATGGATGG